AATGCAATATAAAACACAGGTAGGCTGTAAGATGGCATTTGCAACAGGTAGATTTGTCAGGAAGGTCACTTCTTGATGTTATCACTCTGGGAGTCAATCTCAGCTTGTGGTAAAATTTTTTAAAACAAATTACGGTCTAATCCGTGTGAATGCAATTGAGTAGTCGAAACTGCACGCAGGCTGTTGATGGTTGTGTTAGCACGAAGTCATAAGTCATCGTGACAGAGGGTTTGTGCGTACTGGCCCTGTTCAAACTGGTGATCACAGTAGATTCTTGGGGATACACTTATTTTAGGGATGATACCGCTTTTGGAATTCGCTAAAGAAAGAAGATTTTTCACTCTTTGAAAAGACATTGGTAGAAATTTTCGATCCGTCATAAGAAATTTAGCCTTGCTGTTCATGTGTAGCTGTGCAAGTTCGTTCAGTTATTTTCTTCATCAATTTAAATAACAAAATAACATTTTGATGGCCATTATTAAAAAGCGCCAAAGTGAAATGGTTCTACTTAAAAGTACATTTTCAGTGCCAATCGGAATTTGTATCAATGTCGATGTTGTGTAATAAACTCTATTTTAGGGTTGGTATATATCCATTATCCGTATATCCACTCCAACAGAATTGTTTGTTTAATCATTTCATCCCAAGCAAGGCGATAAAGCCACTAAGACGCAAGGGATTACTGCGTGTAAGAAACTGAAAAAAAAAAAAAAAAAAAACGCTGTCGAGGAGCAAGAACAGTAAAAAAAAAAAATAAGGATTCAAAAAGACAAAAGATGACGAATGACGTTGCATTTAACTTTTTGAAGATCGTAGTTGGCAGGAAAACAAGAAGCTGGAAGAAAGTGCCACAGGTGAGAAGTGCGAGAAAAGAAACTATTAGCATAGAACTTACAATTACAACGAGCACTTTCAGCAGGAAAATGCCAGATGAAGACCGATAATATTGCCAATTCTTGGGATTTTGTCAAGAATCTATAAATACATAGCAGGGGCACCAGAATATAGAATTAGGCCATGTTTAAAGTGGAAGTCATACGCGTAAATTGACCAAGCTCCCCCAGCACTTCCCCTATAGGGAGGCGTCAAGCGTTAAGGATTAATCAATTAATCCTAGCTCTACCCATTGGTAGAGTTAATGCAATGGCTTGCGAACGGCCCCATGGAGCTGAAAATAATAATAATAATAATAATAATAATAATAATAATAACAATCAAGGCCAACCGGTCAGATATTGTTATTAAAGACCACAAACAAAAACGATGCCTCCTTATTGATATGGCAGTCCCTGCTGACTGCAATGTATCTTTGAAGATATTCAAAAAGCTGTCAAAATACAAGGACCTTGAAATAGAAATCTCGAAAATGTGGCATATGAGAACATCAACAATCCCTGTTGTAGTTGGAGCCCTAGGACTGGTTGGAAAAGATTGCAGTAGACTAATTGAAGGGATTCCTGGAAGTCCATGCCTCAAGGAGATACAAAGAATTGTTCTGACAAGTACAACCCACACTTTACGAAGGGCTTTATCTATGTAATTTAATTCTTTTTTTTTCTGTCAGTGGAAAGTGTCATGACGCCATTTCTAACCTTAGGTCCCTGGGCGGGACTCGGTAAGAAATGTGTAAACGCCAGAAATCAAAGAAATGATAATAATAATAATAATAATAATAATAATAATAAATCCGCATAACAATATATTTTAGTTGTGCTCGCCTTGCAAATTATTACAGTGTCTTCATTCTTCATTTTATGCTTAATAATTAATAATTCTCTCTTCCAGACAACAAACCTTCTTTCCGCAAAGTGTTTTGATTGTGGTGTTTTTTAGTGATAGGTCAACATGGCAAAAGATGGATTCAGTCATCATTGTTTCTCGTGCTCGGATGAATTTATCCGCTCAGCTGACCGCCCAGACAACAAAGCCACTAACACATGTCTTTATCGGACCAACTGTGCCTCTGGCTCCTCGGTCCAGCTTTACCCTGTTTGCAGTAATATCGATTTCTGCTTCCGAGCTGTTCATATCAGCTTACCTGATACCCAGTCTCGAAACGGGAGGTTTGTTGTCTGGGTTGGAGCAAAATATAGCACGATATTTTAATTTGCTTCGTAATTGTTAAAGGGTTGTGTATAAATGTTCATCAATTATTCTGCACGATTTACGGCAACTTTAAAGGAAAAATGAATATTAATTTGCGCAAAAAATCCTTAACTTCAGCATTAAACATTAATATACGTGCATTAATTTTTGTGTGTATTCTGCACGATTTACGTCAACTTTAAAGGAAAAATGAATATTAATTTGCGCAAACAAATCCTTAATTTCAACATTAAACATTAATATACGTGCATTAATTTTTGTGTGTATATCGGTCTACGGAAGCATAATACCAATACTACACCAGATACCAGGATATATAATATTAAATGCCTGTATTGCCATACAAATTATATAAATGAAACTTCCAGAACTATAAAACGAAGACAAGAGAGAGCTCTTAAACCCCCTGAATTCTCTCGTAACACACAAGAATAAAACAGGCCATAATTTGATTTAAAAATGCCACCTGAGTAAGTAATTAATATGCTTTACTACCAATAAAATGTTTATAAGAAACATTAAAAATATCTTCCCATCACACTCAGACAGACTATTTCATATCTCCAACATTCATAAAATCCATATTTAAATGTAAGATCCCGTTACCTGCGGATGATGTAGCCTAAGTTGTTCACTTTAACACCCCAAATATCTCTCGAGACACTCAAAAACCATCTATAATAATAATAGCAGTAATAATATTTATAATAAAATAAAATCAATACAAGCCCACACCCACAAATTTCACTATACACACGATTTATTCAACCATACATTTTTATCCCAACACTAATAATGTACACCTAACTAATAGTCAACGTATATCGAAATAAAAGAGGAAAAAGAAAAAAAAGAGAGTAAAGGTTAAGGAGTGAGCGAAAGTGAGAACAAAAAGGACAAAAAATGACGACATTCTACATGTACGCACATCCGCGTCGAAGGGCGATGGGCGCGAACGCACACACACATACATACACTATGAAAAAAATCCATGCACCAATGATAAGTGCATATAAAACAGAAAAATCGAAACTCTGGAGTCGGGATGCTGAAGTAACGCCAATCAGCTAAGTGACAAACCTTTTACTTGTATATGTATATATATATATATATATATATATATATATATATATATATATATATAAAAAAAATATATATATATAAAGAATAGGAAGATATAAAATCTTAGGGAGGACAATTCTTCATTTAATCTCATAGATATTTTAGTAGTTTTTATCTAACAAAATAGTGCTCAAGTTTGAACCACCCATCACTACTGAAAAGTGCAATAACAGTTTTATTTTCCAGAGCATTAAAATTATAAATTAATTGATTTAAAATATTGGTTTTTTCGCCATATTTACACAACGTTTCGGCCTTTCAACTATATTTCTGAGATTAGGTATTATACACTATTTACATTATTCGGAAAAATAGATATTTAAAACGTTTCGGCCCCCTAATTTTGATTTTTGTACACTAATAAATTAAAAGCATTAGTTCCATATAACATTTCACCTTCAAAAGCTGGACGACACTTCGCAGATATTATTTACATTATTCTATTGTCATCTTTGTCACCATATTTATTACAACGTTTCGGCCTTTCGTATTGTCGCTGAAATGTTGTTCTCATCTTTGTCACCATATTTCTTCAACGTTTGGTTGGAAGTGGTTGGAATGTCGAACTGAAGAACACATGGCACAGTGGATAAAGGCGTTAGTTAGATCCAGTTACAGGACCCAAAGAGTGTAAGTTCAATACCCGGCTAAGGCAGTGGAGAACTTTCAGAGGGAAATGAACAGGAGATAACTGATAACTGACATCCATTAAACATGGCACGTGGAACTAGAACAGTCTACCCCAGTGAGCGAAATAAAGTGTTCAGTACGACATTCCAACCACCTGAAGAAGTCTGGAGCGTACAACGGCCGAAACGTTTTAATAAATATGGCGACAAAGATGAGGACAATAGTCCGAATAATGTAAATAATGTACTCTCCGTACGTTCAATAAATGCAGAATATTTCCGTATAAGGAAACGGCTAATATCACCATATATGTGCAGAGAGAAATGGGGTAGAGTGGTCATTACGATCAACGCTGTCAACGCCACGCTTTAGTATGATATTAAACCTCCGAACTAATAAGCTTTGGGGCCTCGTGAGTGGCAGTATGGCAAATTTGCACCTGGCATGAAAGTGATTACGGGAACATATATATATATATATATATATATATATATATATATATATATATATATATAGATAGATAGATAGATAGATAATATTAGTGGTAAAATATACACATACATATACAAAATATATAAATATATATACATACATACATACATACACATACATATATACTTTTTGAATAAAAAATTCCAAGAGGATAGAATCCAGGTAGAACTCAATGTCTAGGACAGAGTAAGGATATAATAAAAAGGCTTAAACCCTAATATTCCATGGTCATAATTTATTCCACTGGAATCGTAAATACGATAATATCCTACGTTGATTGCACAAGTCGGGGTTTCATGTTATTTGCAAATTTAAGCCACATCCCCACATTGACATGAAGACATTTGGTAGTGGGTAGACTGTAAATTCAAAACGACGGCCAATATAACACTAAAAACACGTATGAATTTCAACTTTTCTTAGGCGCCATTAGATAAAATGTTGCTAGATGAACATCCATTAGTATATTGCTACCCCTACAAACCTACAGCATTGACCCCTGCAGATGTTGGCTGTATGATCAGGCTAGTACGTCGCATGTCCTGTCCAGATAACGTCAACAAGAAACGTTCAGACATTTTACTTCAGAAAACAAAATGTATATGTTAATTATCTTTTTAAATTATATCCGCTCCTTAAATGTAGGCTTTCGTCCGTATCACATTGAAACACCAGTTCTCAATACAATCATCAAAGTTAAGCAATGTTGAGCCTGGTCAGTACCTAGATGGGTGACTGCTTAGGAATATCAAGTGCTGTAAGCGTGAATGTGCAGATTATGAATGAATACTTACTCGGAATTGGAGAGATCAGTTCCAATTCCTCTTGGGTTTGTTATATTCATTTACTTGTAAATACCCTTTTTTAGGCCCAGATTAACATTCAAGGCTGAAAATAAAACTTAAAACTAAGAATTATAAATTTTAATTTAAAATCGGACGGTGTCATTAAAAAAAAATAACGTTTGGAGATCAACAGGGTTAACTCTATACTTTGTATGGAAATCAATAGTGAAATTAATAAAATTAATAATATTATTAATAAAATTAATAACATTATAAATAAAATTAATAATATTAATAATAAAATTAATAATATTAATAAAATATGCAGTAATAAAATTAAGATACTTATAAAAATACTATTAAAAATAATACATAACAATAAAAAAAATAAAAATGAAAACATAAATAATAAATAAATAATAATAATAAAAACAAACCACATTGCTGATAGTAAGACTAAAATAAAAGTAAGATAAAGACAATAATAATAATGGTTACATAGTAAAAATAGTAATAATGAAAATAATAAATTAGGATAGATGTTAAATGCATTACAGTCTAATAATAAGTAACAATAGTAAATAGAGTAAAAATACTAATAAAAATAGTTGTGATAATAATAAATAATATCAATACTATTAGTGGTCCGCGGTCCTGGCAAGACTATATTAATCAAGGTGCTTGAGTAGAAATTTAGTTCTATGCAAGCAGGTGCTCATTAACTCACTTCGTTATGCATTCCCAAGTGATGATTGTTATTTTAACCTCGCTTTTCAGTTCAAGTTTTATGTGGGCTCTACAGAGAACCATTGGAAATCGCGCTTCTACCACCACCAAATGTCATTAGGCAATATCAAATCATGTAACAGCACTGCCCTCTCTAAATTTTTCTGTAAATTGAAAAGTGAGAATAAAAACCTAACCATCAATAGGGAATGCGTGACGAAAACTAAACCCTTCAACGGGAAAGGCGAGACATGTAACTTATGTCTTTCTGAAAAGTTAATGATCTTAAAAATAAACACTGTAAATCTCTTAAACAAGAGAAGTGAGTTAATAATTTCTGCGACCACATCAGCCCTTACATCTGGCCACCTAACTCCCTAGACTGCAACTCCCTTCATTATTATGTGTGGGGTGCAGTTGACTGAGAGAATAAAAAAATTCCTTATAACACTAACGATTATAGCAAAGATTATGGTAGCATTCGCCAACTTAAACAAGGAAACCGCCCAGAAGAGTTGCAGGAGATTCCGAAGTCGTCTGGACGCCGTGGTTGAAGTTAATGGCGATTATGTTGAATAAATTTACTCTTTCGTGTTTCAAGTTATTTTTGTGTCATTTTGGTAAATATATCTGTTAAAATGAGATAACCTATAAAATAGTCAGACATCTTTACTATATATATTTACTTAAACGTTTCTTTAAACACACTCCTAGACATAACGGAAACATCTTTCATTATATAAAAATTATCGATTACACTTAATCGAACCATTTTAGATTACGTCATACACAATTAAAACTTTAAATAAGTCAATGTCAAACTAAAACATTTTATGTAACGTTTTTAAACAGTATATATCAGTTAATATATTCAATTGAATTATCTAAAAGGCTGATGACAAGATAACATCTTTTAAATTTCTAGTCGGAAAGATAAATTTAGAACATTTTCTTATATATATATATATATATATATATATATATATATATATATATGTTAGTGAATATATATTATCCGACGCACAATTCGGAGTTTCATGCAATCTTCAGGTGCAAATATGAAATATATTTATACGTACGTGCAAGTATATGTAGGTTTTATTATCTTACTATATATATATATATATATATATATATATATATATATATATATATATATATATATATATATAGTTCTAGCCTGTTTAAATTAAATTAATTAGGAAGGTTGGTGAAAATGTAAGGCCATTCTTTAATGACAACAGATTAGATAGTTGAAGATAAAGCACGGTATAGTGGACAGTAGTGTTTCAAGATTTGGAATCTATTTCGCAACACAGTCTTCTTTTTTCTCAGTCGTAGTATTCTACCCTTGCATGATGGCCGCCATGCGTCAATACGGCATAGATACGTCAATGAATAATCTTCTTACCACCTCAAAATTCTAGATAATTTACATAAATCAGTCCAAGTTAGATTGTCTACCAACTCCAACAATAAGGAAATATTTGATAATAATAAAATAAAATTATAAAATCTTTAGAACTAAGCCAACATAAAGTATATTTAAGGTATTTAGAAAAAAAGAAAACAAACAAATAAGGTAAAAATAAACAGAAACAACGTAAGCGTAAAATTATGTTTCAATCCACCTGTTAAAAATAATATCGGAAGAATTTTCCTAAATTTAATCCATAAGAATTTTAACCATTCACCAACATTAAAAAGATCTTTCAGAAAAGTAATGTTAATATCACCTTTCGTTGTGTTAATAACATAGATAAAACCATATCCCAGCATAACAACATTATATTAAAAAATTTATTTTCAACAAATGTAAATATTTCTAAAACACAAATGCCGAAAAATATGACCTAGCCCTTAAACAGTCAATGCATGACTAATAATATTGTATACCGAGCGAGCATACATTCCGGTAACGATGTCAAAATTTTATTTTGGTTCCACTGAAAATCCTTGGAAATTTCGTTTTTACCGTCATTGAATGAACTTAGGTAATATAAATTACAAAAACATCCTCTCCAGATATTTATGGCAATTAAAGAATGATGGCCACGCACCATTAATCAACTAGGATATTATAACACGAGCTAATGCACATAACATGAAAGGAAATAAATGTAACTTATGTCTTGTTGAAAAAAAAAAAATGATTAGCCAAAAAACACTTAAATACCCCGAGCTCATTAAACAAGAGAAATGAATTGATAGTTACGTGTAGGCATAAAAATAAATATTTGTTTCAATACGTTGATCCAGATTAATTTTTTAATATACATTATGGTTTATGTTTTTGTTTATATATATATATATATATATATATATATATATATATATATATATATATATATACACGATCTCTCAGGCTCCTTGCATTCAAACTAGCTAGATTGATACTTTATAAAAAAAGTTTTTTGAAGTACATTAAATGCAGACTGGACGAAAAACTATGGGGGTCAAAACAACGACGGATTGTCCAAGACTTCCAGTACCAATGTCGGTCGTAATTCGACCGTCCGTGAAAATACCGCTGACGTCCGTCGGGAAGGTTAGCTTAAGTATAAGGAGGAATGGAGTAACACTGGAACTCTTCCTGCATATAACTTGGCTAATTTTTTAATTCCTCAGACTCCACCTAAGCATTTTGATTTTGGGAAAAGATTTTGGGGCGGCGTCTAAGAAGTTTCACACCTACAATTTGCCACCCATATTTCTAATTTGAGCTATTACCCCAGGAGCGTCTGGAAAAATTGCTGGGTCCTTTGTCGAGCTTAAATCAGAACAACGGCCTCAAGAAGGTCTTTCTCTGGAAGGAGAGGTCTTTCTCTAACGCCTTCCTGTCAATGCGACTGTTGGGACCAAGTAAATGGTTTAGAAATAACAAAAACCAGGGTTGCAGATATATCATATATTAAACAGTAAGTACAGCAGAAGAGTATTACATGACTAGTGAGCGGGCGTCGGTTGACCATCGTTCAATCTTTTCGACTGTTATCTATCTTCAACATAGACTCTTTAGAGGGAGGACACCACAACAGCGACAGATAGCTTACCCACGAGAGGACTTCTTTTTTGAGGGGTGCTTGGCATGTTGTTATGGGGTAAGGAAAAGATAGACTCGTGATGGGGGAGCGGAGGCTCATAGACTTGTCTGTATATGTGTTTCTATTTGGCAAAACAGGAGCATATGTGCACTTGGCATGTTCCACAGCCCTCTCTGTCCTGTTTCGCCCAGTTTTTTTCTCCTTTTTGAAACTTTTGACCCCTCTGCCTCCTCTTCCCTTCCCCTTTTCAAAGAAGAAGAAGGTGGTGGCGAGATGTCGTCCACCTGCATCTCACCTTCTTTCTCTTTCTCTTTCTCTTGCTGCTACTGCTGCTGCAGTTGCTGTCTGTTGTTTCCGTTATGTTTTCTGCTGCGGTTGCCGCACATGTAGTTGTTGCACCTGTTGCTGAGATTGCTGCACCTGTTGTTGCTGATTGCTGCACCTGTTGTTGCTGCTGTGATTACTGTCTCACCACCTTCTGTGTTTTGCCGTTGCTGTTCTTGTTGCTTCGACTAAAACAATTCAATGACCTAACCTAAAAAAGCAAACTACTCAATTAACTAACCTACGCACATATTTGCTATCGCTTAAGTATTACTCGAAATAAATCTGACCAATTAATACTAGTATCGAAAAACGACATTTTCAAAGCTCTATGCTTCCTTCGCTAGTTAATATAATAATGTAAGTTTAAATAGTAGCTAATAAAATAATTTAAGTTTTTACTGCCCTCTGAAATGACATTCATTAGAAAAGGGCAATTAGGCGTGGATATCGAAATAAAAACCGCAAATACGCGGAAATAAATCGAAATAAATAGACAAAAAAAAAAAGAAAAAAAAAATTATTTAAATCCATGATCCCCCTCTCCATATCCGCTAATTTTCACCCCTTCCCATTATTCCTCGTTCTTAAACCACTGAAACTTCAACCCACTTCAATCAAAACTTTAAACACCTTATCCATAAATATTCAACTACCCTGACTCACTATATTAACTTATTATTCCCTTTTATCTCATAACCCCTCCTGCCCCCTGCCCTCCGGATCTCTAAATATGTTTTGTGAGTTCTTTTCTATTTTTTCCCTTTTTCCTATCGTTCTCATTTCTTCTTCCATGGCTCTGATCTCTTAAGCCAAATCCACTTGGAAGCAGTTAAGACTTCATTATTAATGTCCTTCAGCGCTCTAACCCTCGCTGCTACTA